GCAAAGGTGTCTTGAGAACACTCTGCACACAGAACTGGACCATGGTTTGGTGTTCAACAAAAATCTATAGCAAAACCATGCCTAAAAGGAAATCAGAGGGTTGAAACAGTGCAGCCATTCCAACAAGGAAGTGCATTTCAACCTTTTTTTCATTTGTGGCCCTCCAACATTTTTCAGATGGTGGCGTTAACCTGTTTGGAGATCAGGTGTCTTGAGAACACTCTGCACACAGAACTGGACCATGGTTTGGTGTTCAACAAAAATCTATAGCAAAACCATGCCTAAAAGGAAATCAGAGGGTTGAAACAGTGCAGCCATTCCAACAAGGAAGTGCATTTCAACCTTTTTTTCATTTGTGGCCCTCCAACATTTTTCAGATGGTGGCGTTAACCTGTTTGGAGATCTTCAGACCCCTCAAGGGTCAGTGGACCACAACTGAAAACCACTGTTCTAAACTAATGGCAACTTTTTGTTACTCCTCCAAACATAGTCTGTGAACCTCCAGGGGTCTTTGGATGACAGGCTGAAAACCACTGCTATAAGGGAGTACATTTGAAATACACAGAGAAGATGGCATTGGCTATATTAGGGCTGCATAGCTGTGAGTAGTTTGGCCCCATAATTTTATGCACAGTTGTCTTGATCATGCTTTTTGGGAGGATTTTTTTTTCTGCGTTTCAGTGCATTGGCCAAGGGTGCTCTGTTTTTGCACTGAGCACTGTGCTTATGTGAGCTGGAGAGCTTATGACCGGAATAGACAAATTCTCTCTTGTACAGTTGACTGGTACATACATCTTAACATTGACATTTAGGTGTCACTACAAGCAAAAGAATCCCTACACTCTAAATCTTATTATAAAACAGCACTTTATAGTTTCTGCTTATTACATTAGTAGGGAATTTAGAGTACTGTGCTCATACTGTAAGAACTACAGTTATTCATTACAGACTAAAATTATGCCCATCAGACATCCAGACAGTAATTCCTCAAGATGTTTTTATTATTTAACAGCATGAAAATGCGTCTGTGAGTAAACATAATAACATTCCATGGAAAAACAGAAATAATAAATAAAGACCATTACAGTACTTTATCATGTAATATTACATGCCCTGGTTCCACTGCAGAGCATTCTCATAATTTCCTATAAGTGGAAACACAAGATTTCTATGACCCCAGCATGACCTAAATGCTTTTGGCTTGGAAAAATAAAGATCCATCCCCATTAGACAGGAGCTCTGTTCGCTGATTCATGCTCTGGAATTTTAATGCTACAGCATTTCTACAAACATGCTTTTAATAAGGCAGTAAACTGTCCTTACCTAAAGAGGAAAATAATTTATCCATTTTGAGCCATTAGAGAAGTTTTTTTCTTTACTTTATAATCCTCCCACTTTTTATTTTTATGGAAAGTGGAGAGGTAACAGCAAATGAATTTCAATTAGAGTTATAATAGGTTACGGTGCATTAGGTTGCTGGACTGCACCACAAAAATAATGTTTACTTACTGTACAGTGACTGTGGTTTGCTGAGATGTTCCGCATGTGTGGATCCTACTTCTGTTGCCTGCTCCCCAGCACAGGAGTTTGAAACATTTTCACTAGTTGTGTACAGCAGGTGTTGCATATGTGTCATGATCTCCCCTCCCCCCCCCCCCCCGGGGAGTGGGTCAAGACCCCCACCATGCCACTCAATGCCTTCAAACATCCTTAGGCAGCGAACAATACTGTATTCTTTCTGTAGTTTGTTATTAATTAGTTTATAGTTTGTTGTAGTTGTTGATGTTTCATGTAACCCTTGTCAGTAAAAAAGACAAGAAGAGAGCAGATCGACACAGAGGTTATGACAGGGCATCAGTCTCCTGGCTCCATGACATGCCCCTCCATTTGGGGGATGCCTTCAAACATCCTTAGGCAGCGAACAATACTGTATTCTTTCTGTAGTTTGTTATTAATTAGTTTATAGTTTGTTGTAGTTGTTGATGTTTCATGTAACCCTTGTCAGTAAAAAAGACAAGAAGAGAGCAGATCGACACAGAGGTTATGACAGGGCATCAGTCTCCTGGCTCCATGACATGCCCCTCCATTTGGGGGGATTCTCTCTCTGACAGATATCGTTAACATGTGTCTCTACTGTCTGGGCGAAGAATACCACCCAATATTAAGGTCTTGTCTACACCAGGGGGTGATGCGGCGAAAAGGAATGTGATTTCTAAATGGTGCCATGTTCTGCATGAATTGGTCCATGCATGCCTAAGGTTCCCTAATGCATTTTAATGTAATACTCTGAAACAGCACTATGTTAAAGCACACCAGCAGGATCTTCATGGACCAAAAAGACATCTTCTTTCCTGGCTCATCCCTCCAGCCACTAGAGATGTGACATTACACTCAGGAGCAATAAAGAAACAGAATGAGACTAGGGATGTGAGTGACTAGTTGACTATCAGAAAGAGGCAGCGGGGGAGAGGGGGAGTGGGAGTGGGAGGAGGAGGTGCTTCAAAGCAGCAGCATTGAGTGGAGCCTGGGGCCTGATCCCAGGCTCCATGCAGTGCTGCCGCTTTGAAATGTCATGTGCAGCATCTCCCTGCTTTGAAATGCCGCATCCCCAGCTGGGCCCAGTCTGCATGCGGTGTTTCAAAGCAGCAGCACAGCGTGGAGTATGGGGTCAGTTGGGGACTCCTCTGCTGATCCGAGCCTCCATGCAGTGCTGCCGCTTTGAAATGCTGCAGAGAGCACAGGGGGACTGCTTTGGTACCCCGCTGGTAGTAACAGCTTTCAGTAACCAGGTTTGGTTCTTTAAAGGATTTGAAACCACAGAAAGAGGAATACTTCTTTTTAGGGTCAAACAAAGATTTTTATTTTCTATTTACTTTTATAATTAATTTTTCATTTAAATCAATTCACTATCTTTGATTCTTTTAAGATAGCATAACATACAAATAAAAAGTAGAAGAACAGTACAGTTAAAAAACAAGAAATAATATCTCCTCTTACAACTATACCCTCCAGATTTACCTTTGAATAGTTTGTAGAGTTATCAAATATATAATACTCACATTAAGATGGATAGAAGCATTGTTTTGATTCAGGAGATATTCTTTTCTTTATGTCTTTCCTTTTGGATTTTTTCATTGCAACTTACAACCGGTGTTCCCCTTTTGGAGCTTATGTACAGCAGCGAGATTCATAGAACCATAGAATCATAGAGCTGGAAAAGACCTCAGAAAGTCATCAAGTCCAGTCCTCTGCACTAGGCAGGACCAATCCCAACTAAATTAACCCAGCCAGGGCTTTGTCAAGCTGTGATTTAAACATCTCTAGGGATGGAGACTCCACTACTTCCCTAGGTAACCCATTCCAGTGCTTCACCACCCTCCTAGTGAAATAGTTTTTCCTAATATCCAACCTGGACCTCTCCCACCGCAACTTGAGACCATTGCTCCTTGTTCTGCCATCTGTCACCACTGAGAACAGCCTTTCTCCATCCTCTTTGGAAACTCTCTTCAGGAAGTTGAAGGCTGCTATCAAATCCCCCTCACTCTTCGCTTCTGCAGACTAAACAGACCCAACTCCCTCAGACTCTCCTCATAAGTCATATACTCCAGCCCCCTAATCATTTTGGTTGCCCTCCGCTGGACCCTCTCCAATGCGTCCACATCCTTTTTGTAGTGGGGGGCCCAGAACTGGACCCAATACTCCAGACGTGGCCTCACCAGAGCCGAATAAAGGGGAATAATGACATCTCTGGATCTGCTGGCAATGCTCCTCTCAGTACAACCTAATATGCCATTAGCCTTCTTGGCTAGAAGGGCACACTGTTGACTCATATCCAGTTTCTCATCCACTGTAACCCCCAAGTCCTTTTCTGCAGATAGCTGTTGGGTCCCCAGCCTGTAACAATGCTTGGGATTCTTCCGTCCCAAGTGCAGGACTCTGCACTTGTCCTTGTTGAACCTCATCAGATTTCTTGTGGCCCAATCCTCCAATTTGTCTAAGTCACTTTGGACCCTATCTCTGCCCTCAAGCGTATCTACCTCTCCCCCTACCTTAATGTCATCTGCAAACTTGC